GACGTAGCTGTAGTTGTATAGTAGTTACTGTACTTATAGAAGTGTATTTGAAGAAATATAAAAGTAGTACTCATAGAACGAAAGTAGCAGAAACAAAAGTGTAATAGTGGAAGTAAACGTGTTTCTAAAAGCAATGGAAAGCGATTATGGTTGGGTAAAAACACATGCACACACACACACACACACACACACACACACACACACACACACACACACACACACACACACACACACAAACACACACACATATACACACAAACGCACACACGGACATGCACATGCACACACACACACACACACACACATGCACGCACGCACACACACACACACGCACGCACACACACACACACATACAAACACACACATATATACACAGACACTTATGTTTATATATTTATACATATATCTATCTATTTATCTATATATGTATGTATATATATACATACATATATATATACATATATATATATATATATATATATATATATATATATATATATATATATATGTATATATATATATATATATATATATATATATATATATATATATATATATATATATATATATATAAATATACATGTATATATATATATATATATATATATATATATATATATATATATATATATATATATATATATATATATGTATATATAAAATATACATGTATATATATACACATATATATACATATACATATATACACACACATATGTGTCTGTGTGCGCATTGTGACACAAGTTTTCGAAAAGATTTATGGCCTCTGAGTTGCCCCTTTCTTGCCGAGACAGGACCCGAGACAATATTCATATATTAAATTTTAAAAGCTACACTACGAGTTACATACATGTTTTTGTTCTTCACACCAAATGTATATGTGAAGTGAGCCACGCTGACGAAGATTAATGGGGTGAATGTTTATCAGAAGAACTGTTGATGTATGTATTGTCTTGGGTGTTAGTGTAGTTCTCTTTATTAGATACTAGACATGAAGAAAAAAAAGAAGGGTTACGACTGGAACAAAGATGACGAGAACTCTACCGGAAATTCTTTTGTAATGATTTTGGAAGTTATCAGCTTGTGGTGTCTCGTCTGTCTGCGATTGTTTTTCTGTTTCTTTTTGACACACGTATTTACACACACACACACACACACACACACACACACACACGCATATTTGTATGCAATATGCCTCAAATATAGTGGCGAGGGCCTTGGACACCGATGTGGCTGTTATTCTACAGAGCCAGAGTGAAAGACTCAAGGCACACATTTGGATGGAGGCTGGAGTAGCATCCAAGAACAATAGGAGGTTCATCAATATAACTGCAATTAATGTAGCACTGGGGACAATCATATGTCAAGCTCTTCTGGTTCAGATTATACTTCAGCTTTGTACAGAAGAGGAAAGAAACGTCCCCTCAAAATGCACCAAAGCCAAATCCAGGAATTCCATTGAAAAAATAAAAGGGGTTGATGCTTCTATGATCACCATGTGAAGCAGAGATAATCAAACAAATCAAGCAGACAACATTTATTGTTAAAATGTGGGCAGACGCACAAGAAAAGTGCATACGTCAAAGTCCAAAGGAAGAAGATAGGAACTGAATGGGGATGCATATGAACCTGTGTGGTTCAAGGAGGATCAAAAATCTCTTATGTCAGATAAAGGTGAGACTGAGAAAGATTTGGATGATGATGACCTGGCTGATTTTGACCCCCAGCTCCTCAGATGAAGAGATCTTGTCATCTCCAGATGAAGATTAATGATTTCATGGAGACATTATTAATTTCTTCTGCCAACATAAACATTCAGCACTTAGCTACTTTAACCCTAAGATCCCATTCGATGTCAGAAACTTAAACAGCATAATTTTTTGGGACACACGCTACCGGGTAAGGTGTTGGTGCACAACAGTAACCATTCCTCATGATAGCAACATTAGCGCAGTCAAGTCTTGCGAAGCCTATGCACCACATATCCTTGTTGATGTTAGCTGATCTATTGTAGGTTCCACAGTGTAACCCACGATATGTATTAGTTTTTGGAATGTTTTTAGTTACATTATGTACAAAACATTGTATACAATCGAGTTTTACGCTTTACTCCTGGAAAATCATACAGAGGTGACCATGACCTTGTCTTGAATGACCTTTCCACCAGAAAATATTGTCTCAAGTTGGATATTATGGATACATAATCTATACTTATCATATTCCAGGTAGTTACTGATTTGTAATACGTGGCATATTCCTAATGAAACAATGTGTTAACCAGTTTTGTAGTGCTACACCAAATAAGAATTAATTAGGGGCAGTAATTAAAAGCCCCCCTGGCTATGCCCACCAGAAGCTGCACTTAAGACAATGATTTCTGTAGTCAGGTAAAGTACCTCTACCTAATAGTCAAAGCTTTTGTAGGGCGCATTTAAAAAAAGAAATCCCAGCTAGCTCTTAGATTGAAGGGAAGAGCAAGACAATACAAAAATATGCAATAAGTGTTTTTGTTAACGTTTTCTTTGTTTATTTCTCTCATGAACCGTCAGCCATGGTAAGTGTTGGTCACAGATGGGCTGATCACATTACTGTGTCAAGGTCTGCTGGCTTTGGTGGTATCCTTGTCTATATATCATGTTCCTCTCGTGTGCCGTTAGTATACCTATAAGAACTAAAAACCAGTTCTTTAATAAAGAGAATGAATGTGACAGAAATGTTTATATATTTTTTCTATTCCCTTCACGTATGTATAAAGTTTCTTCCAATGAAGAGAAATTTGCTTTACACGGTATTTTGTCATTTTCTCGTTAAATAAAGCCAGTGGATCTAACCATTAAAGGGCAGATGGAGATTTAGCAATAGAAACCTGTCTCACAAAACCCGATATAAAAAGCACATCACACTGCAAACTGTTAAACATTTTATAACATTGCCAGTAAAAATAAGACAGAAAGGAAAGTTAGAAAAATCAAATACTCATGTACCACAAAAAAGCAAATCCAGAAACCTTGAAACTGATTTTTATTTACGATGAACAATTACGATAAACAACACGACGTTGAAAAAAGTATATATATCCTGATTGTCAGAATTAATGGCGATGATTAACCTTCATTATCTTGGTGCTAATTTTCATATCTTCACATATATCATTCTGTAATTTAAAACAGTCGGCAAAATAAGTACTGTACAGTCACCTCCTGTCTCTCTGGATGGAAAGTTTACATGCTGAATTCTTAACCTATTGGCTGCAGGTTTTCTCTGATGAACGAGGCAGGTGGAACGTCCAGATACATCTTATTTATGATATGTGTGTGTGTGTGTGTGTTGATACACATTCATATATATATATATATATATATATATATATATATATATATATATATATATATATATATATATATATATATATAAGTATATATATATATATTATATATATATATATGTTATATATATATATATATATATATATATATATATATATATATATATATATATATATATATATATATCACATATTACATATATATATATATATATATATATATATCACATATTACATATATATATATATATATATATATATATATATATATATATATATATATATATATATATATATATATATATGTATTATATGTATATATATATATATATATATATATATATATATATATATATATATATATATATATATTATATATGTATTATATATATATATATATATATATATATATATATATATATATATATATATATATATATATATATATAATGTGTACGTGTGTGTGAGTGTGTACGTGTGTGTATATATATATGTGTGTGTGTGTGTACGCGTGTGTATATAAGTGTGTGTGTATATATATATATATATATATATATATATATATATATATATATATATATATATATATATATATATATATATATATATATATATATATATATATATATATATATATAATATACATACATATATATGTGTGCATGTATATCTGTGTGTGTGTATATATATATATATATATATATATATATATATATATATATATATATATATATATATATATATATATATATATATATATATATATATATATATATATATATATATGTATATATATGTATGTATGTATGTATGTATGTATGTATGTGTGTATGTGCGTGTGTGTGAATACGTTTATACAGACAGACAGTTAAACTGAATCACACGCACATCCAATGCACGTAACCAATAAAAAAAAATACTTGGACATTGATGGAGCAAGTTACGTGTTGGCTTCATTAAACATCACTTACGCACTCGGTGTAACAGTCAAGGAAATACCATCTTCTCTACCATCATGGATTGCACAGAAATATGCTGTTCACCTTGATTGGATAAACCTCTAGGTGCTGTACCTGGCGTGATGGCTTCTGTTCTTAACTCTACACTTGCTCGAGTACATGACCATAATGGTTGTGAACCTCCGTGGTTAGTTATCCAGACAGGGTTGTAAAGCAATAAACCGCTGTAGTGAACTCTTTCTTGTTGGTCTCGGTGTGTTTGTACAGTCGGCAGGACAAAAAAAGGAAAAAGAATAAAGCAGGAGAGGAAGAAAAAAAAAAAAAAATAAAGCAGAAGAGGAAAAAAAAAAAGAATAAGCAGAAAAAAGTTAAGGACTGCACAGGGAATCAAGGGCCAACCCATACCTAAGAAGAGTTCTTGTCCTTTGAAATGTGTGACGTATTCGTGCAAGAACCAAATGTACGTTCTTGTCAAGAATATCAACATGAAAAAAAATATATATATATATATATTGCCTTTTTGGCTGCTTCATTCACCTTTACATTTTTTTTCAATGTAATTACTTTTGTATGTAAGTGGATATCATAATTATATGCATACCGTTGCACCTCCATGAATTTCTTTTAAGATCTTTCACATTTCTTTACCATTTTGCAACTTTTCATCGTAAAATAGACGCGATTGAAATATACATTGGGTAAAGAAGATACAGACAAACATATATCTCAACCACTTTATTAGTTTCTTCGTTTGGAAATATGAATACTTAGGGTATACAGAAGCTCTCAAACCAGGGTTAAGCTCATTCCATGTACAACTAAAAAGTGATAATGTAAAGAATTTACATTTTTTTCATACATCGTATGGTTACCGCGAAAAAGAGAAAAGGTGAGGATGAAATGGAGAACGAGAGAGAGAGAGAGAGAGAGAGGAGAGAGAGAGAGAGAGAGAGAGAGAGAGAGAGAGAGAGAGAGAGAGAGAGAGAGAGAGAGAGAGAGAGAGAGAGAGAGAGTGAGTGAGTGAGAGAGAGAGAGAGAGTGAGAGTAAGAGTGAGAGAGAGAATGAGAGTGAGTGAAAGCGAGGTATGAACCACACAGTGTAAAATATATTTCTAGAAATTAGAAGACCAATAGTTTTATCATAATTCTACAAAGACAAACAGACGGTTCAGCTCAGGATTCTTTTTAAACCGTGCTTGAAGCTCAGTAACAGCCGGCTGTAGTGAACACAAGCAATATAGACCTAGGCCTACTTTTTTCTGTCAACACATTAGGTATTAGTTAAAGTAGGAACAGGCCGACTTAAAGAAAACTTTTTACCAGTTACACATTTGTCGAATTTCTATGAAATACATATCACATCAATTTAACATAATCACTCTGATCACTCAAGTCTCTGAGCCCGCTCAGAGAACCTCCTTAGCAAGTAACCTTAAAAATCTTAAAGTAAATGTTCCTGTGCCGGCAGGCTGAATGAAAGAATACTCTTCAGGGCCTATTCTTCCAACAGTGAAAACACTGTAGTGTAATTTGGTTATGATAAGGAATTTAACGCGGTGCTGAATTTTGGTACATACTTATCGTTAATATCAGAAGTGGATAGACTGAAAAATGATGAAAGAACCAATGTGAGGACAATATCCCTTAACCATTATACAGTTATCTACAGTGTTTCTATGCACTGATTGTAACCTGTATCTTTACTCCCTGCCCACTTTCGTGCTATAACAATTACTAATCCCACAAGACCTACTAGAACTCCGAATAACAAGATGGCTGAAGTAGCAGATAATGATAGTATTGAGTAGTTTTTAGATGAGCTGGAGTAAACTCTTTGAGGTGTTTCATTATCTACAACGAACCTTTTATGTCGTCTCAGTGACTCAATCATTTGATTGTCATACTCTATAGGTACATCCTCAATCACAGCTTGAGCATCACGGAGTGGCAGAACTAGGCGACCGTTATTTGGCATTTCCACAAGGAGATTCTCGCCCTCGGTGTCCACAACAATATGTCCTGATTTGGTTTGAGGTGCTTCAACTAGTTGCTGCACACCTACGCTTACCATCATCGACTTGCCCTCATCTACCTCTCGACGGCCTCGCACACGATTACGAGGACGTGGTGCTGGCTGGTACAACCCTGCGGCAAATGGGATAGATTTCATTATTATGGAGAAATGTAAATTGTGATGGTAACATTAACAATACAATTAAATGACATGGCTAATATCTTCTCATCTGACTGACATCTGGAGGGTCTGTGTACATACCCTGTGATATTAGTTTATTAATTTTGTTTACACCTGAATGGCTCCACAAGTGCTCAGTTATATGGAGTCAGTAATAAAAATAGTATTAAGAATGATGATAATAGTATTAAACAAAAATACCACTTTCCTTTAAATTTAAGAAATGGGGTAGACAGGAGGGCAGGTAGGCCTACTATTTGACTCCTAGGGTGACTAAGTATTTGTACAGCAGTATATATGTATACAAAATTAATAAAGAAAACCTATGGTAAACAATTGTTAATTGATACTAAAATGGGACTCTTCACAGATTCATTACATTGCAGGTAATAGTTTTCAAATGTTTCATCATATTGATTGATTTATATGCATGAGACATTTTAAATGCAAAGAACTGTACCTACAGGAAATTTTTAACTTACATGAATGGAAAGCATGATATTTGGGATCCTTGTCACCATGGAAGTCCTGGTCATGACTAGGCTTCTTCGTTGTAAATGTAAATTGGTTTGTACCATCTTGTACTTGAGTTGTTGGTCGAGCTGTAGGACGAGTAGTAGGTTTGAGAGTAGGGCGAACTGTTGGCTTAGGAGTTGAAAGACTAGTAGACTCAGGGCATCTTGGATCTCTGGAACCTGGTGTGCATCTGAAGGGACGAGGTGTTGTAGGACATCTTGGATCATTTGTACCAGGGATACACTTTGGCTCAGCTGGAATAACACACTCAGGATCAGTTGACCCAGGTGGGCAAGTAACACTTGGTTGACATCGAGGATCTTTGGAACCTGGTGTACATAAGAAAGTAGTGGTGGGTCGTGGAGTTGTTTGGCTTCTGCATCTTGCGTCAGGAGAACCAGGATAGCAATTGGGTTTGGACGTTGTTGGCCGAGAACATCTTGGATCTCTTGAACCTGGACGGCAGGTGAATTGTGTAGTTGGTCTGGGTGTAGGACGGGGAGTTGTCAGTCTAGGTTTGGATGTAATTGGCTGAGGACATCTTGGATCCCTAGAACCTGGCAAGCACTTAAACTGAGTAGTTGGCCTGGAAGTAGGTTGTGGAGTTGTTGGTCTTGGACACTGTGGATCTGTCGAGCCTGGATAACATCTAGGTCTGGATGTTGTTGGCTGTGAACATCTTGGATCTCTAGAACCTGGAAGGCAGATGAATTGTGTAGTTGGTCTGGGTGTAGGACGGGGAGTTGTCAGTCTAGGTTTGGATGTAATTGGCTGAGGACATCTTGGATCCCTAGAACCTGGCAAGCACTTAAACTGAGTAGTTGGCCTGGGTGTAGGTCGTGGAGTTGTTGGTCTTGGACACTGTGGATCTGTTGAACCAGGATAACATCTAGGTTTGGATGTAGTAGTCTGAGGACATCTTGGATCCCTTGAACCTGGCAAGCACTTAAACTGAGTAGTTGGCCTGGATGTAGGTCGTGGAGTTGTTGGTCTTGGACACTGTGGATCTGTTGAACCAGGATAACATCTAGGTTTGGATGTAGTAGTCTGAGGACATCTTGGATCCCTTGAACCTGGCAAACACTTAAACTGAGTAGTTGGCCTGGATGTAGGTCGTGGAGTTGTTGGTCTTGGACACTGTGGATCTGTTGAACCAGGATAACATCTAGGTTTGGATGTAGTAGTCTGAGGACATCTTGGATCCCTTGAACCTGGCAAGCACTTAAACTGAGTAGTTGGCCTGGGTGTAGGTCGTGGAGTTGTTGGTCTTGGACACTGTGGATCTGTTGAACCAGGATAACATCTGGGTTTGGATGTAGTAGTCTGAGGACATCTTGAATCTTTGGAACCAGGACGGCAGATGAATTGTGTAGTTGGAGCAGGTGTTGGTCGGGGAGTAGTAGGTTGAGGACAGCGAGGATCTCTGGATCCTGGGACACAGAAGAACTGAGTGAAAGTTGGTGTTGGAGTTGTTGGTTGCTGGCATCTTGGGTCTTTTGAACCTAATCTACAAGTAAACTGAGTAGTTGGTCTGATAGTAGGACGTGGAGTTGTTGGCTGTGGACACCTAGGATCAAGAGAACCAAGATAACAGTTAGGAGGTGCTGTTGTTGGCTTTGGTGTAGGACGAGGTGTTGTAAACTCTGAGCATCTAGGATCAGGGGAACCAGGATAACAGTTAGGAGCTATTGTTATTTGTCTACAACGAGGGTCAGTTGAACCTGGTAGACAGGTGAATGGAGTTGTTGGCCTAGGTGTTGGTCGGGGTGTTGTCACTCCACGACATCTAGGGTCACTTGAACCAGGATAACAGTCAGGAGATGTTGGCTGAATACACTGAGGATCCTTTGAACCAAATGCACATGTAAACTGAGTTGTTGGTCTTGGTGTAGCACGAGGAGTTGTTGGTTGGGAGCATACTGGATTTCTTGAACCTGGGAAACATACTGGACGTAGTGTTGTGGGCTCCTGGCATTGAGGATCTTTAGAACCTGGTGTACAAGGGAAGGGTGAGATAGGTCGGGGGGTTGTTGCACTTCTGCATCTTGGATCAGGAGAACCAGGATAACAATTAGGTCTGGATGTCGTTGCTGGAAGACATCTTGGATCAGATGATCCAGGAAGGCAGGTAAATTGTGTAGTTGGACTAGGTGAAGGACGTGGGGTTGTTGGTCTCGGACACTGTGGATCTGTTGAACCAGGATAACATCTAGGTCTAGATGTAATTGGTTGAGGACATCTTGGATCCCTAGAACCTGGCAAACATTTAATCTGAGTAGTTGGCCTGGGTGTAGGTCGTGGAGTTGTTGGACACTGTGGATCTGTTGAACCAGGATAACATCTAGGTTTGGATGTAGTAGTCTGAGGACATCTTGGATCCCTAGAACCTGGCAAGCACTTAAACTGAGTAGTTGGCCTGGGTGTAGGTCGTGGAGTTGTTGGTCTTGGACACTGTGGATCTGTTGAACCAGGATAACATCTAGGTTTGGATGTAGTAGTCTGAGGACATCTTGGATCCCTTGAACCTGGCAAGCACTTAAACTGAGTAGTTGGCCTGGGTGTAGGTCGTGGAGTTGTTGGTCTTGGACACTGTGGATCTGTAGAACCAGGATAACATCTGGGTTTGGATGTAGTTGGCTGAGGACATCTTGAATCTTTGGAACCAGGACGGCAGATGAATTGTGTAGTTGGAGCGGGTGTTGGCCGAGGAGTAGTAGGTTGACAGTTAGGATCTCTGGATCCTGGGACACAAAAGAATTGAGTAAAACTGGGTTTTGGGGTAGTTGGTGGCTGTGGGCATCCTGGATTTCTTGAACCTGGGAAACATGCAGGACTGGATGTTGTGGTTTGAGGGCATCGAGGATCTCTTGAACCTGGCACACAACGGAAAGGAGTGGTGGGTCTAGGGGTTGTTGGTCTAGGTGTAGGACGTGGAGTTGCTGGTCTTGGACATTGTGGATCTGTTGAACCAGGATAACATCTAGGTTTGGATGTAGTAGGTGGAGGGCATCTTGAATCTTTGGAACCAGGACGGCAGATGAATTGTGTAGTTGGACTGGATGTAGGTCTGGGAGTAGTTGGTCTTGGAAGGACAGCGAGGATCTCTGGATCCTGGGACACAGAAGAACTGAGTGAAAGTTGGTGTTGGAGTTGTTGGTTGCTGGCATCTTGGGTCTTTTGAACCTAATCTACAAGTAAACTGAGTAGTTGGTCTGATAGTAGGACGTGGAGTTGTTGGCTGTGGACACCTAGGATCAAGAGAACCAAGATAACAGTTAGGAGGTGCTGTTGTTGGCTTTGGTGTAGGACGAGGTGTTGTAAACTCTGAGCATCTAGGATCAGGGGAACCAGGATAACAGTTAGGAGCTATTGTTATTTGTCTACAACGAGGGTCAGTTGAACCTGGTAGACAGGTGAATGGAGTTGTTGGCCTAGGTGTTGGTCGGGGTGTTGTCACTCCACGACATCTAGGGTCACTTGAACCAGGATAACAGTCAGGAGGAGATGTTGGCTGAATACACTGAGGGTCCTTTGAACCAAATGCACATGTGAATTGAGTTGTTGGTCTTGGTGTAGGGCGAGGAGTTGTTGGTCTTGGTGTAGCACGAGGAGGTGTTGGTTGGGAGCATACTGGATTTCTTGAACCTGGGAAACATACCGGACGTAGTGTTGTGGGTTCCTGACATTGAGGATCTTTAGAACCTGGTGTACAAGGGAAGGGTGTGATAGGTCGGGGGGTTGTTGCAATTCTGCATCTTGGATCAGGAGAACCAGGATAACAATTAGGTCTGGATGTCGTTGCTGGAAGACATCTTGGATCAGATGATCCAGGAAGGCAGGTAAATTGTGTAGTTGGACTAGGTGAAGGACGTGGGGTTGTTGGTCTCGGGCACTGTGGATCTGTTGAACCAGGATAACATCTTGGTCTAGATGTAATTGGTTGGGGACATCTTGGATCCCTAGAACCTGGCAAACACTTAAACTGAGTAGTTGGCCTGGGTGTAGGTCGTGGAGTTGTTGGTCTTGGACACTGTGGATCTGTTGAACCAGGATAACATCTAGGTTTGGATGTAGTAGTCTGAGGACATCTTGGATCCCTTGAACCTAGCAAGCATTTAAACTGAGTAGTTGGCCTGGGTGTAGGTCGTGGAGTTGTTGGTCTTGGACACTGTGGATCTGTTGAACCAGGATAACATCTAGGTTTGGATGTAATTGGCTGAGGACATCTTGGATCCCTTGAACCTGGCAAACACTTAAACTGAGTAGTTGGTCTAGGTGTAGGACGGGGAGTTGTTGGTCTTGGACACTGTGGATCTGTAGAACCAGGATAACATCTGGGTTTGGATGTAGTTGGCTGAGTACATCTTGAATCTTTGGAACCAGGACGGCAGATGAATTTTGTAATTGGAGCGGGTGTTGGCCGAGGAGTAGTAGGTTGACAGTTAGGATCTCTGGATCCTGGGACACAAAAGAATTGAGTAAAACTGGGTTTTGGGGTAGTTGGTGGCTGTGGGCATCCTGGATTTCTTGAACCTGGGAAACATGCAGGACTGGATGTTGTGGTTTGAGGGCATCGAGGATCTCTTGAACCTGGCACACAACGGAAAGGAGTGGTGGGTCTAGGGGTTGTTGGTCTAGGCGTAGGACGTGGAGTTGCTGGTCTTGGACATTGTGGATCTGTTGAACCAGGATAACATCTAGGTTTGGATGTAGTCTGAGGACATCTTGGATCCCTAGAACCTGGCAAGCACTCAAACTGAGTAGTTGGCCTGGATGTAGGTCGTGGAGTTGTTGGACACTGTGGATCTGTTGAACCAGGATAACATCTAGGTCTAAATGTAGTAGTCTGAGGACATCTTGGATCCCTAGAACCTGGCAAGCACTTAAACTGAGTAGTTGGCCTGGATGTAGGTCGTGGAGTTGTTGGTCTTGGACACTGTGGATCTGTTGAACCAGGATAACATCTGGGTCTAGATGTAGTAGTCTGAGGACATCTTGGATCCCTAGAACCTGGCAAGCACTTAAACTGAGTAGTTGGCCTGGGTGTAGGTCGTGGAGTTGTTGGTCTTGGACACTGTGGATCTGTTGAACCAGGATAACATCTGGGTCTAGATGTAGTAGTCTGAGGACATCTTGGATCCCTAGAACCTGGCAAACACTTAAACTGAGTAGTTGGCCTGGATGTAGGTCGTGGAGTTGTTGGTCTTGGACACTGTGGATCTGTTGAACCAGGATAACATTTGGGTCTAGACGTAGTAGTCTGAGGACACCTTGGATCCCTGGAACCTGGCAAGCACTTAAACTGAGTAGTTGGCCTGGGTGTAGGTCGTGGAGTTGTTGGTCTTGGACACTGTGGATCTGTTGAACCAGGATAACATCTGGGTCTAGATGTAGTAGTCTGAGGACACCTTGGATCCCTGGAACCTGGACGGCAATTGAATTGTGTAGTTGGAGCAGGTGTTGGTCGAGGAGTTGTGGGTTGAGGACAGCGAGGATCCCTGGATCC